TTATTTAAAATTCCTTTTTTTTTTCTTTGCCTCTGTTATTCTCAGAGGTGGCACCTGAGTGCATGGCTTAATTTCTTTGGGTGATTAGTACGGCATTAACAAGGATCAGGTGCAGAGATGATATCTTCACATGCCAACATGTGCTGTAAGCCTCTAGAGCACCCCTGAGCTGCCACTCGACACTGCCTGTCACTGATCTCAGTACTTGGTATTCCAGGAAACACTGCCTGCAAGATTCAAATTGCTTTGACAAGAGAGGCAGACCACAAAACACAAGACAGAGGAGAGATGTGCACTTGAATTTTAAAGTCATATCTTGACCCCCCCCCTACTCACTCTCTTCTCAATCTAAAAAAAAAAAACATAAATTCACAGCACATACTTACAGAACACAATTTCTTCAGCTGGTACCATAAATAAGCACTAGAAGAGATAAGCGGGTGGGGGGAATCTGCTTGCTGCCCTTTTTACTGCCCTCAAACTTCACAAGCAGAATTAATTCAACTGGGAGAAAATGTCCCAAAGAAACACACACAGGGCCAACGTCGCTGCTCTGGAAAAATCAGTAGAAAACATCGTAATGACGGAAGTTTGTTTGTTTCTTTTTTTTGGGGGACACAAACAGAACAGGATGTCTCCGGGTGTACAAAATATGCAGAGTTATGCAGGGTGCTGTAGACTCAGCTCGTTAGGTGTACATCAACAAGAAGGGGGGGTACACTGTAGGGAGCAGCGGTTATGTTCAATTTCATAACACAAGCTGGGTAATTAGCTCTGCCCCGACATTCCCTTTGAACCAGAAGGGGACAAGTGGCAGCCTTATTTCTCTGTTCTGTGCACTGAGCAATTCCACCCGCTTGACCCCAAATATCAAAGTGGTTCTGACCACAGAGAGGTCAGAATAACCTCCCGTCAAATCCCCATCCCTTACTGATATCCCAGTGGTAGTCAGCCACACTGCTCCCTAGACCTACGCTCCCAGCAAAGTACAGTTAGAACAGAGATGGAGATAAAGCGCCCTGACGTGTAAACAGACTGAGTCTACCAGACAGATGCTAGGAGGATACAGGTAGCTCCTGTACTTTCGCCTGACTGCTCCATGAAGAGGCGGCATGGCTCATTAACTCTCCTCTATCGTGTGCAGAGTTTTAATTTATAGTTTTTTACTATACTGTACCATGTAGCAGAGAGTTTATGTACTGCTGCAGCATTTTATGCCATTGCAGTGTTTTACGGCCCATTTTAGAGACAGGCGGTAACAGCGCAAGCTTAGACAAGAGCTTTTTTGTACATAAGAGCTATATCACATGGTTTACGGTTGACACTTTTTGATTCCAATGCAGCATATTGGAGCACCAGTGACAACATATTTTTATTTGTTTTGTTGCCATTTGTTTTATTAATAGATTTGTTGTCAGGATCGATGAAATTATGTGTAAAAAGACGTTATTTTTCACGCCAGGCTATATTTAGACCATCATCACGACATATTCTAGGACATTCTGAATTTGTTTGCTGGAAAAATCTTTCATCTTCACATATTTTAACTCTCGCCATCATCGCTTGTCAAGAATCAGGTTGCTGTCAAGCAAGACCTGACTACATGAGCAGCTGCAGCACTAAGAATCATTTAGAGAATTTCTTTGTTGTTCCTTTAATAAATCCGTCTCGACTGCTCATTGTTTGTTTTGCCTTTTATTCCTGCCTTTCAAACATAAATATCAAACATTTGCCTTCATACATTTCCTCACATTTATAATTTACAACCAGTATATCAACATACACCAATAACAGGCTATTTATATTACAGATTAATGTATAGATAATGCAGTAAAAGGTTGAGTAAATTGTGTGTATTGTAGACAAATTAAATCTAATGCCTAGAAGTAACCAGCCCCGGAGCCTAATTACATTTAAAAAAGGGGAATAGAATTGGTAAGATACAACTGGGTGACCTCATGTTCAAGCTGTCTGTTGGTGGAATTTTTAAAATGTACTGTTTATGCTTTCCCTTTTCTTGGTTAAATACAAACATTTAAAATCTATTTTAGCAATACTGTTCAGTCCAAAACACACACACACACACACACACACACACACACACACACACACACACACACACACACACACACACACACACACACACACACACACACACACACACACACACACACACACACACACACACACCTATTTCAGGCTGATTTCTAGATCTGAACAGCGCAAAGGGACTGAAATGTGTTTTTTAAAGAACTGAAGCTAGTAAACAGGAGCGACCCAGAAGTAATTTCTTGTGCCCCTAACAAGCCACAGCAACTTTATGTTTTACTCTAATATTGGGCAGGGATGGATACCTTTGACATTTGAATCGATTCGGTACTAATTCCCGGTACCTAGGGATCGATACCGGTACTTAACGGTACCAATTTTCGATACTTTTGAGTGTTTAAATATTTTAATTCTTATTCTTAAATAACTTTTTTATAATTAAAATATATTTTTCTCAATATATAACCATATTTGATTAATATCACGATACATAACATACAACTGTTAGTATTTTAACATCGTCCTTGTAGTTTTATAAGCTGATAATTAAACTGAAGCAAACATCTTTACTGTGAACTAAATTTACTGTGTATCTTCATTCCTTTTGCCGTCTTTTTCATTTGATTTTTCCTACTGGGAAGCTAGAATTTCCGAGGAGAAAGCGAACGCACCATTAGCTGATATCAATGGTGGCAATGGAAGCTAACATATCAAGCTAACGTTATCTTAAACAGTTTATTTAGCTGCTGGAGCAGATTAAAACGATGATGCCTCACACTTAGATCATTGTCACTGGTTTCATCTTCACCCAATCACCCGTCGCCTTTAGTAAAGTGAAGCCAAACTTTAGAGCGCGTTCATGTTCTTCTAGTCAGAAATTCGGAGTTCCGAGGAGAAAGCGAACGCACCATTAGTGAAACGGAAGCTAACATATCAAGCTAACGTTATCTTAAACATTTTATTTACCTACCGGAGCAGATTAAGATGAGGATGTCTCACTTAGATCGTTGTCGCTGGTTTCATCATCACCCAGTTACCCATCACATTTAGTGAAGTGGACCCAAGCTTTAGTGTGCGTTCTTTCTACCATGCTGCTCTGTTTACAACTGGCTCGCAGGGACCGACGACATAACGCTCTTGCGCATGCGCAGCTGTCTAGGCAAGTTCTTGTTATGAAGGACGGGTACCGAAACGAGGCACAGTTTCAAAAGACGTGAATCGGTGCTCAGACGGTACTATGGAATTCGGTCGGTACCTTAAAAAGTACCGAATTCGGTACCCATCACTAATATTGGGTGAGGAAGGCTAGAGGCTGACGTTGAGCTACAAATGCTAACAGTGAATTAGAAACAGTCTGCTCTAAAAATGTCTCAAGCTACTTTTTCAACGACCAACAACTCATTATTACAGTGTAATGTGTGTGAAGTGAATAGTGAGTCAATATTAGTGTTTTACATTATTTAATGAGTCGTTGAGAACTATAATAGAAAGTTAATAGCAAGACAGTAAAACAACAACACATCCTCTAACGCCAGAGAAATATTAAATGGCAAATGGCCTGTATCTGTCTAGCACCTTCTTAGCGTTCTGCAACCCCCCAAGGCACTTCACAACACAATCTGTCATCCACCCATACACACACCCATTCACACGCTGGTGATGATGAGCTACAATGTAGCCACAGCTGCCTTGTGGCACACTGACAGAGGTGAGGCCTGTCAAATACTGGAGCCACTGTTCCCACCGACCACCACCATTAGGCAAGGCGGGTTAAGTGTCTTGCCCAAGGACACAACAGCAGCCTTCTCTGATTGGAGCTGTGATCAAACCTGCAACCTTCCGAGTGCTGGACAACCTGCTCTATCTCCTGAGCTACTGCTGTCCTTTATTGTAATAAATGTAGTAAGTACTCCCTACCGTAAAACACCCAAGAATGCTACCACTAGAATGGATTTATCTATTGATCAACTTACTGAATATGACTCGCCTTTGCTTGTCATCTAGAATCTTACGGAACGGCAGTGAGAAAGTAATTTTTTTGCTTCAAAATGGACTGCAGTAACCACATTTGACCACAGGATGTAATTCTTACAGATAGCACCTTAACTATTACAGAGAGCTAAAAGCCGCAGTCTTGAAAGCATGAACAACGTAATAGTTGACAAGATTCTGTTAAAACTGGAGATGCATTAAGAGTCCAGAATTCCTGCAACTTTAAGTTTATTAGGTCAAAAGCTAAAACATTAGGGAACCATTTAAAGCACCAACATTGCCTTACCCCAGCAATGACTGTTGCCTGATTCACTAACTTGCGGGAGGCTGCATATGGGCTTAAATGTACTCAACCAACTTGAAGGTCAAGGTTTTTTTTAATGCTATTTTCTGGATTTGTAATAATAAGAGTAAGGGTAATAATAGTAACAAGTAATAATTGATCTGATCTGCTTGGATTAATAATTCAAAAGGCGGCAGAGTAGCATAAAAAAGTTGCTCCCCTACTTTCAAAAGTGGGGATGCAGCACTTGCTTTATTGGTCATGGTCATGTGTAAAATAACCGTTTTACTGTGAGCTGAAACTAATCATTAACTTTATTTAGCCAAAATTTATTATTTCACAATAAGCATTCATTAGAATGTTTATAATCCAGTATAGTATTGTGCATCAAATATTAATATGAGAAAGTTATAAATATGCCCACTTGATAGTTGCTTAACTGTGCTGCACACACAGAAATTGTATCTGGCCCACTTTTGCCCTGCACCTCTAGTTTCACTGCATGTATCTGTGATAAATTTCTACCATTGCTGCACATACAGTAGTTCTGCTCCTTAGGTCTGCTGATGCATCACTGCTAACACAAGACTTTCAGCATACTAAAGCTGCCAGAGCTAACTGTGGGCTTGAAATCGCTAACAGCTAATAAATACGCAGCAATGTGGAACAAGCTTACCAAATATCAAGCCCTGGTCTCCATCACTTGTTTTCCCGTCAACATCTTGATCTGGCAGCTGTCAGGAAGTAGAGTCAGACAAAACCTGCACCTGGAGGACAAGACACAAACCGATTTGTTAAACTTGCAGAGGAGGTGAGCAGGACTATTTCAATTTGTTGCGACATGTTTTAGGATGTTTACTTTGCAATCTTTGGAAATAATCTATTAAGGAAGTAACACTTCACTGCACACCAGAGATCATACATTCATAATCTCATTGACTGAGCCCACTCCCTTTCCCCCCCACTTAGACGCTTCGGGTGCAATACGAACGCTGATCTAATTATGAAACAACAGCAAAAAAACATAAATAGAGGCAGAGACACCAGAAAAATGCAACCAAATATACCACAGATATGAATGCGTGTCATTAATATTTCACTGCATCATTTCTGCTAACGGAGAACATAGTGTAAAATGGAGCGTGATGAACATTTTATAATATTTTGATAAAGCTTTTGGAACTCAGATGGAAAAACAAAGAGCGGGTAAATGTGCCAGTGATGACTAGAAAATGTGGTGATTAATGGATCAGAATAATTGCTGCATGCTTTAACACGGGACTGTTGCCTTGATCTGCACACTAGGGATGTAAGAAAACATTGACACTCTGAAATATCACAGTATGTTTGGTCCTAATAATGAATCATTATTAAAATGCAGTGACTATATTTTTATTCAAGAGCAAATCACATCAAAATCAACCTTTTTTTGATGATAACTAGTATAAATGAGTGTCTAAAGGCACGCACTCCCTCCCTCATGCTCACACATACACATACAACCAAAGACTTACAAAAATGCACGCCATACACCCACTCATGCTCCCCATACACACCCTATTCACTCTGGTCCCGGTACTAATTCACATGGGGTACAACTAGGGATGCACCAATACCTCTTTTTTCCAAAGCGATACGATACCGAAACTTGGATCTGAGTACTCACCAATGCTGATTACCGATTCTTCCACCACACAAAAAAATGCAATGATTTGGAATACAGATTTTATTTTCTTCTCTGCTTTCAACAGGAAAAGACTGTGAGGAAGATAAAAAGTAAAATATATGAATGGAAATCATCACAAAACTAAAATATTAGGTGAACAGAAATGAAAAGTTACAGTGAAGCCATTTTCAAGCAACTGCATTGGTATCGGTTCCTGGTATCGGTTAACTTTTACCGATACCGGTATTGGTATCGATCGGTATCGGTGCATCCCTAGGTACAACCATTACCGGTTCCCAGAGTTCGACCCTTTCTGCTGGGGTGCTGATGGGCAGTACTGCGAAATATACCATATTGTCTCCCCGTATTGTGATATATATTGTATCGTCTCTCCCGTACCGTGAAATATACTGTATTGTCTGCCCCGTACTGTGATATATATCGTATCGTCTCCCCATATTGTGAAATATACAGTATCGTCTCCTGTGCATTGTGATATATATCATATTGTCTCCTCCGTATCGTGAAATATATTGTATCGCCTACCCGTGTGAAATATATCGAATCGTCTCCCGTGCATTGTGATATATATCGTATTGTCTCCCGGAAATATATTGTATCGTCTCCCTCGTATTGTAATATATATCATATCGTCTCCCCCGTATTGTGAAATATACCATACCATCTGTTCGTATTGTGAAATATAACGTATCGTCTTTCCTGTATTGTGATATATATTGTATCGTCTCCCCAGTATTGTGAAATATATCGAATCGTCTCCCGTGCATTGTGATATATATCGTATTGTCTCCCCGTATGTGAAATATATTTTATCGTCTCCCTCGTATTGTGATATATATCATATCGCCTCCCTGTATTGTAAAATATACCGTATCATCACCCTGTATTGTGAAATATAACTTATTGTCTCCCCGTATTGTGAAATATACCACATCATCTGTTCGTATTGTGAAATATAACGTATAGTCTTTCCCGTATTGTAAAATATACCTTATCGTCACTCCGTATTGTGAAATATAACGTATTGTCTTTCCCGTATTGTGATATATATTGTATCGTCTCCCCAGTATTGTGATATTTATGTATCATTTTCTTAGATTTTGATATGTATCGTATTGTCTCCCCATTTTGTGATACTTATTGTATCGCCTCAGCTGCGTTGAAATATGTATCATATCATATTGCTAGTATTGTGATATATATTGTATCGTCTTCCCTGTATTGTGATACATATTGTATTACCAGACTCTTGCCAATACACACACCCACTGCATACCTTAATGTAAACAGATAAGAATCTCGCCATTTCTACTGCAACATTTGTCTTCTTCAGTAACACATCTTAGCAAGTTGACTGACAAGGTTGCAGGGCCTTCAGTTTCTCACTTGTCCCCAAAATTCAAAAACAATCCACACAACATGTCATGGTTTTACTTGCTCTGCAGAGGCATACAACCCAAGAGAGATTACCATATCACTCACATTTGTCTGAAGAGAGCCGTCATGCATGAAAAAACAGAGTTCTGCACTCAGGTTCCGGCTTTACTGTACATCAATTTGTATTCAGAGTGGAACCTAAAGCTTGTCACCTTCAGCTATTCATCCAGCCAATGAAGTATTTATGACGGAAGCTTTTGCTTTTTGATACATCATCCCAATCCACTTCCAATCCCACTTTATCTTAGGCTTGACTTGTGTCAGGAGCAGGAGGAATGAATGAGGGTAAATGAGAGTGTGGGTGTTGATAGTGTACAAAAAGGTAGACTTTTGCCTATATTTCTTTACTTTTATCTTTATTTCCAGGCAGTCACCTGGCCCACAGTGAAAAGTCGGATCTGTGAACATGCCGGCCTCAGCTTCATCCCTTTTCCTGAGTAAGACAATCCACTTTCTTGCTCCATTTTCCTATCCAAGCCACAACATTTGACCCCTTTCTTTCTTGCTTCGTTCTTTTCCTCCCCCAGGTATAGGAAGATGTGCCACACAACTTTGGCCAAAGGACGAACTCCATCAAGCCAATACCCATCATGTCCTTCCTATCCTTGCAAGACAAAGACAGTTGTTAGGGAAACAAACAGTCACTTGTGGTGTCAGCTGTTAACCAGAGTACTCAACGTGGCAACAGGAGCGACTGAGACTTCAGTCTTTAGCTATATTCTGTCACTCATTCACAAGGAGAACAAATAATGTGGGTGTCTTTGCACGAGAATGAAAGGCCAGCTGGGTCACAGGAAGCATTTCTCTAAAATAACTTCAACACTGAAATCTACCTTTAAAAGCAGCCAGTAAAAGAAAATAATAACATTTTTTAGAGTGCTCATAAGCAACACCCAACCACCGCGTTCAGGATTTTACTATTAGGCTGCTAGAAGAGGTGAAAAAGGGCAGATTTTTGTTGATGAAAGTGAAATCGTATTCGGTCTTTTTTGTTGCTCGATAACGTCCTTGGATAACCACACACAAAAACTATTGAAGCAAGTGAGTAATATTTTTGAAATATTACAAATAATGCAATTCAAGTACAGTGGTACAATTATGTATTGATTTGATCCTTTGACCTGCAGTTCAGCTGCTTGAAAAAAAGGACATTTTAGTGTTGATATCTTATTGAGTTTTCTGCTGAATAAAAGCAAACAAAAAAAAACTGATAAAATTAAGTAATTCTTAACATATGGGATGTACAGTAGAACATTAAATACTACTGCTGGATATTATCATTTTGATTTTTATTATTCAATATTATATTGAGCCTCCCTGGTGAGCTATTCTGGGCCAACTGTGAGGAGACCTAAAGGTCATGCTGGAAGGACTATGTCTCTCGGCTGGACAGGGAGTGTGTTGGCATTCCCCTGGAGGAGCTGGCCCAAGTGGCTGGAGAGAGGGAAGCCTGGGCCTCTCTGCTTAGGCTGCTGCCTTCGTGACCCAACCCTAGATAAGCGAACGATAATGGATTGATGGATGGATATTATATTGCCTTGTTAAATGACAGCTATAATTGTCTCTAATTAATAAAAAAATAGTGAGAAAACAAAAATAGATTAAAATTTTAATGTGGACCATAAAGGCCCAAGTGTGTGATATTTTTACCAGTTTACTATCAAATCCTGTGTTTCCAGTTCACAAACTTGTCCTTTTTCACTAATATTTCTCCATCCATCCATTTCCATCCACTTATCCGGAGTCGGGTTGTGGGGGCAGTAGCCTAAGGTGAGAGGCCCAGACTTCCCTCTCCCCAGCCACTTGGGCCAGCTCCTCTGGGGGAATCCCAAGGCGTTCCCTGGCCAGGTGAGAGACAGAGTCCCTCCACCGTGTCCTGGGTCTACCTTTAGATCTCCTCCCGGTTGGACGTGCCCGGAAAACCTCACCAGGGAGGTGTCCAGGAGGCATCCTGACCAGATGCCCGAGCCACCTCAACTGGATCCTCTCGATGTGGAGGAGCAGCGGGTCCGAGCCCCTCCCGAATGACCGAGCTCCTCACCCTATGCCTAAGGGAGAGCCCAGTCACTCTTTGGAGAAAACTCATTTCGGCTGCTTGTATCCGCGATCTCGTTCTTTCGGTCACTACCCAAAGCTCATGACCATAGGTGAGGGTAGGAACGTAGATCGACCAGTAACTCGAGAGCTTTGCCTTCCGACTCAGCTCTCTCTTCACCACGACAGACCGGTACAACGCCCGCATCACTGCAGATGCAGCACCTATCGCTTGTTAAAGGACAATCTCAATATAATCACGGCTCTGGAGCCGAGTGACACTCGTTTCAGAAAATAGTGATGCAGCTCAGAGGCTTTGAGTGACCTGATAGGTGTAATAACCGTGAGGTGAAACTCCTCCTCAGCAGATCCATGAAACCACCTGCCATCGAACGATTTCCTCTTTTTTTTTTAAGTTTTACTGGCTGTGGTCTTTTACTCCTCATATCAGTTCTCTGATTAATGGCTTGGTTCAAACGTGGGATCACGTGCACTTTATGGCAAGGTATCAATCATAGCACCGTACACGTTCATGGATTTTCTACAGCTCAGCTGCGTCACCACAGTCAAAGACTAATTACACCTCACTAATAGGGGTTCATAAAGAGC